CTCTCTCCCTGCTCGATATCCGGTCCGATGCTAAATAGCAGAAACATAATTCTGTGAGTGCGAAGAAATTGCTTTATCGCGCGGAATAATGGTCCGTATTCACATGTGTAGCCCTCATAAGTCTTTTCCCCGATACTTGCACTTTTCGGAGATTGCACATGGCCAGACCGCCGAACCGCCCACGCATCCTCTTTGCATCGTCCGCCGACGATGATATGAATGCGCTGTTCCAAGATAGAACTGTACTATGGCAATGCATTGGAAAGGAGGGTACGTTGAATGGTCACAAATCGAATGTGACAGCTCCACCGTACGCGCTACATCGCCGTTCTGACAAATGCGGAAAATCAATACCTCGGCCATAACGTATTGCTTTATCTGCACTTGCGAACTTTGCGAACTGCTTATATTCAAAATATTATAATGACTTAAGATTTTTATCGAAAAATTAACATTTCTGATTATGTAAATTATTCACAATTATATTGTATAAAAAAATATGTATAGTGATTTACAATACAATGAAACACTCACAGCAGAAATTAGTACGTATATCATTTATACGAAGCAAACTGTTATTCAATTAAAGGGAAGAAATGGAATTATTAATGATATTGTATCAAAAGACCGATTTATCATGTTTTAAAAATGTTACAAACAATCTCAAAAAAGATAACATCGCAAACATAAGAAAGAATTGCTATAATAGAACATGAAAGCTTAATTGTTTAATTATTAATATTATTTGTATAACATACAAAGTGGAAACAAACTTATAAACACGTAAATAATTTAAAACTGAATTCAAGTATTGTTATTTAATTTTTATTTAAAATATTTGAACACACAGTCTTCTTAAATTAATATCAGTAACAAGTTGTTACTAACAACACATTGGCTTATATACCATATATATAAGTCATATGACATATTTTATCCGACTATTGCGCCGAAAGATACGTACCTGCAGACAATTTCTTTTGTGCTTGGGCCCGCGGCGAGAAAAATTGTTAAGAGAAATTTTCCTGACTTTAAGTGACGTTGATGTACGAGCGTAACCAAGAGAACGCCTGCAAGAATGTCAGATTCCTTTATTCCCCGCGAAAAGCACAGAAACCAACACTCCAACCGGATAGCACGATTACGCAATTAAAAAGTATGAATTATTAAGCCGCGCGTAATTTCGATATAAACTCAAAATCGAACGATTCACATACGAAGTACATACATACATCTCTGAATAAAAATGGACACGAAAAAGTGTGTGCGCGTGCGCGTGTGTGTGTGTGAGAGAGAGAGAGAGAGAGAGAGAGAGAGAGAGAAGAGGGACAGGAGTTGCTAGTATATAATTAAATGTTCGTAATTTTATAAGTTCTTAGTTTGCTCTCGTAATGGTATATAATGTAAGAATAATGAAATATAAATTGTAACATTCTGTAACAGATTTCCTGGTTGAGTCAGTCGAATCTGGCAATTATTTTTTCTTTAATTGTGCACTAATTATCTCGAAGTAGTGCCTGTTTCATACGATGGGGATTGCAGCCTATAATTCGATTTATACATCGAACCGCATCTGGTAATTAAAAGCATTGTCAGAGCGGAATACACGGATAAAGGGACCAGATACGTCGAGGAAAATGACGTTGTTTAAGTTCAACCGGTAATGATTAGTCGCAAGTAAAATCTTAATGCAACATAACTTACATTGAGAAATGCATTAATTGTGATGCATTAATTAACATGATGGAATTGTAAGAATCGGGATAATTGAGCAATAATTATTTATGACGAATTATATAATGTAAAAATAATATATAATAACACTTAATATTATATAATAATAATAATATGGTAATACATAATATATGTAGAGTGTATTTATATATATGATCATTAACGTGACTTATATTTTTGCAAGATAAAATAGAATCAAATATGTTCAAAAAGTTGATAGCCTGATAGAGTATAACAAATAAATTAATGAATAAATTGAAAAAATTGAATTTTTATGACCATATGAAGGTTATTTTCAAATGGAATTGTCTAAATATCATATTTTTTATTCGACCTTACGCTGCAAATAAAGGATGTTCACATTAGATGGAACATCCTGTATGTTCTAGAAGAATAATAAATTAAATTAGTAGAGTTTAATTTATTATTCTATCTAATTTTTATTTAAAGAAAAGCATCTACATCAAAATCAAACCGTAGATAGAAAATCTAAATTTACAATCATGTTGCTTTCATGTACGATGATTTGACAACGGTGGTTCTGTCCTCGAATACGAGTCGGGCTTACGTGAACGCGCGACTTTTTATTCGCAGAGGGATGAAAGTCGTGTCCTGCGCGGGGTGGCGAGTGCTTGTCGACAGTTCTCTCTGAAAAGAACGTAGCGGGGGTGTTGGCAAATACGTAGGACGCATTCAGATCAGCGTCGGCCGAGGGCCGAGGGGATCCACCGAACGGGAACGACGACGGAAAAGTAGAAAAGGTTTTTCGGAGCGCGTCAGCAAGAGACATCAGAGGCAAGAGGCCGTGCCATTTCCTCCAGTCGAATACAAATCAAATACGTGCGAATGTATCGTGCGTTGTTGCTTTGTATTTCGTAAAGATCAATGCGAAAGAACAAAACTTTATTTCGACAAAGTGAAGTCTCTTCATCGTTTTTACGTGTATAATTAATGAATTCATCTAACTTTGAATGATTGTGTTTTCCTAATGCGATACATCCATATGAATCTCTCTCTCTCTCATTCGATATATAATTTAATAATTTAATTTTTCTATAAATAATTCTACAATTAATTTTTCTATAATTATTCTAATAATTAATAATATTTTTATTTTGTTTTATATTTACATCTTTTTCAACTTTGCAAGTATCATATTAATATTTTTACGTTAATACGCACAAATCACGTTTTTTAAATGAACGTTTTATTTAAATGAATAAAATTTTTCTACATTTGTATAATTAAAAACCGAAAACATGAGAAAAAATTGTGTCATATTTTTTGTTAATTTAATTTTATACTATTTTTATAAGCTATTTATTTTATAAGTCAATCAATGAAAAAAATTTTCTGACTATTTATTACACACTGAAAGAAATAACGTTTTCTTCCATTACCGTTTGCGTTTTGGATAATATTATACCCAAGTCTATAAGTATCTACCTTTATGTTCTTGAAATACGAGGAGTCAAACGTTATAAATGTAACGACCTCGGAAAATTCTCGGAGAGCGGCTGGGAAACCAGAATAAATATTGATACACGTCAAAGGGAACGTCGCGTGTAAATGACATTCCGGGAGAATCGCAAAATGCAGCACGGCGTAATACGCGAGACGGAAAATAGCGGCAATACTCTTGAGTGCCTCGGACCGGATGGTGGCCTGGGGGACCTAGGGACCGCGGGATAAGGATTTGCTTCGAAAAGGGAGAGAGAGACACTCGTGCGAATGCTACATACGGGAATGCATATGCAGGAAACATAGTCGATTTTAGGTACGTGTACACTGGGCGCTCGCCAGGGCGCTCGATACATCATCGAGATTGAAAATACACGATAAAATAAAAAGAAAAGAATTTTTCTAATTTTTTTTAACTACGCAAATATAGGAGAATTTCATTCATTTAAATAAAAAACTTAGACGTGTTAACGTAAGAATTTAATTGAGATTTATAAAGTTAAAAAAAAAATATAAATATGAAACAATAAATAAAAGATTATTAATTTTTATTATGCAAATGTAAAAATATTTTATCATTATGTATAGCTACAAAATAAAATTATGTTACACGTCAAATGAGTTATGTAAGTTAACTAATTAATATTATTAATATTTTTAAATTTTATAACGATAATTAAAATAAAATAATATATAAATTATAAAGAAAAGAAGAAATTCTTAAGTTTAAACGCATATCATTGTAATATAAGACGCTTATAACGATACTTAAATAAGGGGATTGATTTCTAAATTTATATAAAATTGTGCAGTCTATTAGTACCGCAAAGAAAAGAACTATTCCGAAACAAAAGCGATCATGATCGCTTATCGAACTTGAAATATCGTCAGGCCGAGGGTGCCAGGATCGCCTCGACACACTGCTGGTCTTCGAGGGTTCCACAGTCCATCCCCTTCTTAGATCAATAATACTATTCCTGTGACAGCGCATGCGTCCCCCAGCATCTCCCGTTACAACCCCCATACGCGAGCTGGTTTCCACCCCCGTTGAGCCGCGTTCAAGACGCCGTGTACCCCTCCATGCAACATTCATAGCGCCATCAATATTATACGCGCGAAATAATAACCTGTGCATTTATGATGGAGGGGATGGCTCCATCTAAAAGTCGATATAAAAAAAATGGATCATGATAAATATGCGTGTAAACTGTTATGCAAATCGATCAACGATTAGTCAAGGATCGTGAGAAAAGATAGATTGGTGCAATTTGTCAAGTAATCGATCGATGAGAAAAGTTAGCTGAGCAGTGTGAAAAATATACTGCTCATTAATGAAAAGTATACTCCATTGTATTAAGAAATTATTATATGTATATTTTTGCTGAACACATAATTTCTTTATAAAGACATTTTATTATAAATTTATTATTAATTATATATTAAAATTATTCAAAATATATGGATTAAATATTGACAGTTTGTAATGCATTTTATCACAATGTATGCGTGGATTAACAAATGGATTATCAAATGGATTATCAAATATTCAAACGTATGCATAGATCGGTATAAGATTTGTTTGCATACATTTAAATATTTCATCGTTGATAAATGCAATATCTATTATGTACATAATAAATGCTTCTTATTTTGTAGATAAATGTAATAGTACGTGACGATAAGCAGATGACCTTCATACACAGATAACTAGCTATATCATGAAATTACGAAACTATATGTAGTGAAACTCGTAAACAGAGTAAACAGCAACGCGAGAAATCTCAACTTGAAAATCCGGTTTTCTGACGATTCAGACGGTAGTTAACATTCATAATAGTCACAGATCCGACTGTAAAGATCACACGTAGCATGGCAACTGTTATAAAAGACGCGCATTAGTTAAAAAAAAGTCACTTCCAACTAAAGTATGAAACGCGTTACTTCGTCTTGGAAAATGATTTATAATCTTTTCTCGTTAGTGTCGTGATAATGTCATCTCGCTTATCGTCAGCGTTTGTCATAGTGACGTAAAGGTGTCTTTACATTTTAAAATTTAATTGCTGAAAGAAATCTAAGCGATGTGATAGTGCAATCGCATTAACTCACATTCAAAGAGAAAATTGCGGTACGAATCTACGTCCATTAGAAATTCTCGGGATGATAAGCGGAATTGCGTGCCTGTGATAAATCGTGTAGCGAGTCACGGTAACGGAAATAAACTATGAATCCTGATATCAGCTTTATCATTGCTTGATCTCGACGCCTTTCAGTTGGAACTGTCAGTGTCTGAGCCGTTTAGGTTACATGTAAATATATAACCGATTTGCTGCACGCTATACGATCTCGTGGCGAATGTAATTAAAAATCTCATTGATCTCGTATTCCGACTTCGTTCATCATGTCTAAACGACTGTTAACTAAAGAAACCAGAGATTATTTATTTAGGTAATATTTACTCAACATGATAAATTTTGACTTAAAAATATTGTAAATATACATATAAAGTAAATTAAAATTAATATTTTCTCAATTAAAAGACTTGAGAAAAATATTATGTTAACAAGAAGTATGAACAAAATGCATTCTAGTAATACAAGTCAGAGTTTTGATTATCGTAATTGATTTTCTCCTTATCTTGATTAAAATGTTTGATAAATTTATCTACAAGTGTCTGACTTGTTGTAACTTTGTGATCGAATCTATATAGAATTCCAATATTAATGGAACCAGATTCTTTTTCCAGTGTGTTATTCTCTTTTCGTAATTCTTCAGTTTCTAATATTACGTAAACCATTGATGATACATTTGTTCCTTTCTTGAGATTATTGTACTCTGTATTTTAGCACTTGCTTAAAAGCGCAATTTATGGAAAATAAACTACTTTTTAAGCACACACTTCTGGGGCCCGGTATTCAACTGGATGATACCTATAGCGGCTATAGCTGACATGCGAAAGCATCCAAAAATCATTAGCGGCAAAATGACTACAGGTGAGTTCGATATATAGCTTTACTCCGGTAGACCCTTCGAAGAATTCATTCATCGTCTCTTAATAATCGCGACAGAGCGAGTTGATGCGCGACTAATAGAGGGAGGGAGGAGGACGAGGCTCGAGAGGGACCTATAAAATAATTGCTGCTCGAGCGCAGCAAATAACCGTTTATTTCTTAATGAGCAGCACGTTGCGAATGTCTGGGGGTGCATACCGGCCTAAAACCAGTCTGCAAGTAAAATGTTACAGTTAAATGTTACAAGTTTAATTACGTTTAATCTCTCAAAGCGGCGCGACTGCTCGAAACAGTTTCCTCTGAGTCTCGAAAATTACTATGTCTCAGAAAATTACTATATTCATGTAACGAAGAAGCCGCTGTAAAATTATTTCTCGATAATAATGAAATAATAATAAGATGATAGGATAATAAATTTACTGTATTAATTTGCATTGATTACGCTGTAATCTGTTTCTCTCTTATTTGATTAAGTAATTCTCTTTCTGATTTGTTAGCTTTGGTCCTGTATTCTCTGGTATTCATGCGGTTTGCTTGGAAAGTAAAACCGCGAAATTTGTTGCTGCTTGCATGCCACGCAACAAACGCCGGGGCTCAAATGGGGCAAGGTTACAGATTTCTCGATTATCACTACAGCCAACAGAAAGAGCCCGAACAGAAAAAATAAGATGGGAAACTAGTATCCACGCGAGTATTTCGTTACAACAACTACTTATTTGCAAATATATAATAAAAAAATGTGAAATACTAATGGAATTAATGTTTTTTATTAATTTTACTTATTATCGGTTTTTGCTGTAAAATAATTTGAATAAAATAATAATAGTATGAGATTTAGATAGTGGGATATCGCTTTCTATTCTGACAGAACATGATGAATTACACATAAATTTAATATGCGCATAGAATATCAAAGTAATTTATTAAAACTGTAAAAGAAAATTTCTTTCAGTTTCTTCATTTCCATTATCGTGTATATATAAAACATGTATTGTGCAAATATAAAATATATACATATGTTCTTTCCATTATCGGAGCATGTTATCAACCAGTAACGCTCTGATACTCACGGCAAACTTTATTGCTCAACAAATTTATTGCAACCATCTAAGATACAAACAATAGTAGCGCGGCGTTAGATTTAACCGTAGCAATTATTATAAAAGCGTGCGCGTGAGCGTATAATATATTATAATAATTGCTAATATATTGGAAAGCCGGAGCTCGAGGATCTGGCGTAATGTACCCTGGCGCAACACTGTTAACACTGTTGCATATATACCCGAATGATTCCGCTTATTAAGTTATTCCGTTACTATTCTTCTGATAATTGTGGTTAATGCGCAGTATTTATAATTCAGCGATCGCGTGCTGTGAGACCAACTTGAACGCTCCAAGATATGTAACATATTGCTCTTCGTACATTATCTTTCCCCAATCGCAATGAAACTGATAAGATTCCGCAGTTTTTCAGATATGAAGCACTCGATATTTACGATATTCATTAACATCATTTATGCTATATATATATATGTTTTTTCTTATAGATATTTTTACAAATTTTAAATCAAGTTAATCTTAACGAAAGTTTGATTAAATATCATTTTTCTCATTTTTTTTTTAGATTTTACATGTAAATTTGTTTTTTTTTTTAAATTGAGTTTCCGTAAAATAAAGTTCCCTGTCTTCTTTTCTCTTATTCCTATTTTAGCCTTGACTCGTTTTTCGGTTTTACGTGTCATTCCCTTCTTCGTCTATCGTTACTTTCCCGTATCTAAAGGGCACAAGTTTATTCGACTCGGCCCCAATTCAGCAGTACGAACGAATGTATAAGGAGAGCAATAATTTTCTGGGGTAGCCTCTCTTGCGCGCGATACTACAGGGGCGCGGGCACGGCATGGCATGGCGGGCACTCGATCGTGCTAGGGTCATTTTATGGGATCTGGCACGGATCAGACGCACGAATCTATCCTCGGTATTTTCCGAATGCTAAGCCGCACCGTTCTCTTCTCCCGACGGCGTTTTTCCCTTCGCCTCTTCGTTCTCTTTCCGTCCTCCAGTCCTGACCAGGGATATAAAATCCACCCCCGACTAGCTGAATAAATATATATGGCCTTATTAGCCCCCTGTGCTTGGCGTCGATCATGCGGCACGCCCTGCCGGCGCTCCTCTCGCTGATGAAAATGTTATTTCAAATGACGTCACTCAACAATGTTTCTGCAGTGCTCTTGAAAAGTTACTTGAAAGTGAGCTCTTTTTCGAGAAATGAATTTTTTATTAATTTTTATTTTCAAATAAAGCCATGTTAAATATTTATTGTAAGCACGTCGCACGTCATGAAGAACTGGCGATAGTTGTAAAGCATCTAAATTTGTCCGTATTATCCGTTTCCAGTAGTCACGAATGAGAATAATCGCTTTCTACACTCCGTCGTCGATAAGACAAATCCGGCGCTTTCCATTCACGTCCTTCGGTCCTGCGGGTTTTGTCGTGCCAGCGCGGAGACAATCGGAGAATCGTACGTGGAGGAGACGTGGAGGAGACGAGGAGCGACAGGGAGAGTCCTTCGGGACTGATTTCACAAACAAATGCCGCCGATTGAATCCTGGCATGTTGCAAGATGGATCGCTCTCTTTGAATCACAGATTACCGGCCGCCTCTACCTTCCATCTCGCCTCGCGTCGTATCGTTCCTTCGTACTGTCGCGATGTACGTCGTCCTTTCCTCCACTTCGCTCTTTCTGCTGGTCCACTTCGTCCTTCACGGAGACACTTCCACCTCCGTGAACGGTTTCCTTCTAGCGGGTATCTCGGCAATTTGCCACATGCCTACGCAGCTGCTACTCTCTCTCTTTCTCTTACTCACCCTATCGTGGTGGCATCTCAAATCTTATGTCAATGATGGCCAAGTTGATTGAAACCATAAAATGTTGCGAGATTTTGATGGATTAATAAAATCTATACATCTATATTAATTGAGTATCGAATAAAAATGATGTTTAAAGAAATTGCATCATTTGACTTTTAACTTTTGACTTATTCGATTAATTTTATTACAACGACAGTCGTTCTACTTTATTACGTGGATGAATATTCCTTTTATTTATTATGATTTTGTGATTATGCTCCTGATTAGGTGAGTGTTATATTGATTGTACGTCAAAGATGTGCAAAGTAATCAGCAATCAATTTTGATAGTGTAGATGAAAATTAATAAATAACGATTGAAAATACTGAATAGCATTGGTATCAGTGAGTGTAGGCATATTAGGAAAAATAATTGAGCGTCACTAATACGATCAAAATTGTGTGAAGGACGGCGTGGCGCCTTGAAAATGCCAGACACAATCAAAGAACGTTTCCAGCGACGAGTTCAAAATAATTTGATGAAGAGGAAAAAAGCACCGCCGCAAGCGAAATGAACTGTAAAGCGGAATGCTCGGATTGTAAAGCCTCCCCCGCAGAGTTGCATGAACTGCGGAAAGAGAGAGAGAGAGAGAGAGAGAGAGAGAGAGAGAGAGAGAGAGAGAGAAATGAGGGGAACGACCCTCGCTCCCAAGACTTTTCGACACTAGGACGATCTTTAAATTAAGTGCGTCAGCTTATGACGCCCGTGTAAAGTTTTGCAGGGTGGATTTTTGATTCGCGTGCACGAGTTGAGCGGGAAGGCTCCTGAAATGCGTGGCGAATTGCGCGCCGCCGCGTCGGTGCGGACCCCGAGGGTGAAATGAATCAAGCACACCCTCGCCATGCAGGACATACATTAGGCTGACACCGGACTTACCATTCGGAATGCTGACGATTTCTTATGTCAGAGATGAAAAGGAATAAGAGTGTTTCCCTAGAAAATCGAGAAAATATTTCGTGAAAACGAACAGAGTCTTGGCACTGGTGTCATAATCATTTTAAGTATATCTGCGATATTTTTTATTATGTATACAATCGCTGCCAAAAGTTTCCGGTCAATGACTAATTCTATTGTATTACTCGGCTAAATAATCTTTGCATATAAAGATCTAATACAAGTAAATATATACTATTTAATATACTTTAATAATTAATTAATATATTAACTATATATATAATTTTTTTATATTAATTATTTTTAATATCATATTCTTGAGTTGATTATAATAAGAATTTATTGACTTACAATATAAAATAAAAATTGGTTGATACACAAAAATTATATGCTGGTCGAAAACTTTTGGCAGCCATATTGTATATGTATGTAATGTATGATAATATATGTCGCAAATATATGCGATATTTAGGAAAAGAAATACTCTTTCCATAAAATAGCTTCAGTTTTCCTTGAACTTAATAAATAATAAATGTTTCTATAACAAAATTTGTTATTATATTTTGACTGAAACTGAATTAGAAGCATCTATGTTTTTTCTAAAAATACTCTAAGCAGAATATTATTGTAGTTATAACAAATGTTAGCAAAATGTAAATGTTAGCCGTTGTCAAAACAACGAAACATAGGTATTTTGAGATCTATCGAACATGATCGTAAAAAGATTCGATCGAAAAACATCCCGCAGAGTTTAATGCACCAACTGCGAGATACATCTGATAGATTCATAAAAATGTACTTTAACCACCCCTGTAAAATAACATGAGAGACAGGGCGCGTGATCGTAAGTATAAGTACACCGTTAGAACGTAAAACGCGCTGTGTTAAAAAAATCATGAGTGTACTATCTTGCGCATCATTCCCCCGAAATTACATAAATATATAAATTCGATAATCCTGTTTTCCGAGGGGCGCCATAATTCGTCAAGGGATGCAAGTAATTTCAGGAGGGATGCAAAAAGAAACTAAGCATCGTCTTTGAAATTACGTAACGTAATCTCGGTAATTCGGTGGAAAATGCAAGTGATTTCGAGAAGTAGAAACGAATGCTTGCCCATTTTCCTCGGATGAGTTTACGACGAATAAGAAACGAAGATTCACGAGAAATGACGAACGTAAGAGTGCGAAAGGTAATGGGGTTGGACTGGTCGGCGCACTACGACGGGATGTTTTCGTTCGAAGGGATGGGTCAACGTAGATGGCAACATAATCCCCGATCGAGAAGCCTGGCACATGGGAACATGGGGGACATCTTATCTTCATATTACACACCCGTCGTGGTTCTCAACCTAAATTTTCAACAATGTATTTTCACAGGTCATCCTCAAGCTGATAGATACAAATTATCTTGATTAGTAATAGTAATGTATAGGTTTTAAATATTAAATATTAGAAAGTGGCATACAGCCACACTACAGATGTAAATAAGTTATATGTTATTAAACAATTCAAACAATATGTAGACGTTTCGGTCACAATCTGACCATCTTCAGTACATTAATTGAAAACATTAAATTATTTAAAAAACTAGATACATAATTCGTATCTAGACCCTTAATCGTAATGTTAGTTAATACATAATTTATAGTGTCTTTATTGTACACCATTATTCGCATCGTTCTCAGATGTTTAAGATAATATTGATTACATTAAAATTTAACAAATTATACAAATACAAAATATAACAATACAAAATTCGACCGAATTTAACGATAGATTGTATGGTTTTCATCCTTTCTTTATTATATGGAATTAATCTCATCGATCTAAGTAGTTAACACCGATTGTAATTATTATTAAGCTAATGTATAGGTATTTTACATATAATAATTCAATAATTTAAAAATATGTAGAAACATATAAAACA